CTGATGAGGAGGAAGGTGAGAAGGAGGAGGAGCTAGCAGAAGAGGATGAAGCCATGGAGGAAGACGAGGACATGGTAGAGGAGGCGGAACAGGAAGAGGAGGCGGTGGAAGAAACAGACGAGGTCACGGAAGAAACAGTAATTGCCTCTCAGCTACAATCCAACCCACCGTTTCCCCTTGAATGTTTTTTGAGTTGAATGTCTTCTCCTTCCCATCATTCCTGGAATGCTCTCTTTCCTTCCTTAAGCACCTTCAATCTCCCTTTTTAATGTTTCCTTCTCTTCCATTTAAGGGTTTGTCTCCTGTTTTGAGTGTCTGTCGTCTTCGTACTGCATTTTCCCATCAAGTCATCCCTCTGGATTCAGTTATTTCCTAAATACAAATGTCCTGTTCCCTGTGTATTCCTCACCATTGGACATGTAACCTCTTCATTGCATTTCTTTTATTTCCCTCCACGTGTGATTTTATTTAGCTGATGTTACCTCTTGTCTTCCATCCCGCATTTCACTGCGTGTCCCACTCTGTTTGGTTCAATAAGGCTGATCTGTTGATGCTGTTGTGTTTCCGTATGAATATACAGATTGCGTAATGTATTAACGATTCACAGTCTCTAATACTGTTTTCTCTTCTGTTAGCAGGCCCCTGCAGAGGAGGAGGAGGAGGAAGAAGAAGAACAGGTAGGTTTATCAAACACTTACATCTGCTTGCCAGTGATCTGAACATATTTGGAATAATGCTAACCAACATAGACTTGTTCTTCTATTAACTGTCAAATGATTCTTTTAAAATGCTTACATGAAAGCTGTGTGGTATTGCAAAGTAGAATTTGTGGTTTTAACTCACAGTACTTTTTTCCTAATAATGTTGTGAGTTAGCCACAATGCTAACCCCTAATACCCAGTGTGTTGGACAGAAGATGATCAGCCATTTTCAGAAGTGACTCGAATAACTGTGCACTGTACTTGCAATGCTTAACTTCTAATGTTATCATGTTATAATGTTCAACGTCAGTGGGGTATTTTTCTTATATCTGCATCCCTTCAAGTACTTGAACTTTGTAGCTTCTAAAAACGAATCTTTTCGTCTTCAGCCACTCTTGAGGTGGGGATGCATGTCATGACCGTCAAACTAATTCAGCAGCCTTACATGAGAAAAGTATATATAAAAAAGGAAACATTTTGGAAGTGACATTATTCACTCGCAACATGAAGGGACAAGGGGATGAAGGGTGCTTGGGAGGGATCGAGGGGATAGGGATGTAGGGAGAGAGGGGGTGCAGGGAAGGTTTAAGGGAGTGAGGGATGTTTCAGACACAGTCTCCACCTTCCACTTCCTGTTGATGCATGTCATTAATGGCACGTTTCTTCAGTTTGTGTTCCAGTCCATTGAAACCACCTGACTCACTTCACATCGGTTTCAGACGTCCCTCTGCTGGTCTTCACATTGTTCCTCATGCACGCACCTTACAACGTTTTTTAACCCTATTCTTTGCCCTTTTTTTGTTCCATCTCTGGGTTTGCTCCCTCCAGGAGGAAGAGGATTTGCAATCAGAGGTAACATTGCGTCGGTGACCGCCTCCGTGTAGTCTTCATCAGTGTGGGTTGGATGGAGATCAGGGAAGGCTGCTCTGCTTGGAGTGGTCTGCTGTTCTCATTCATCTTTAAACTCACTTCATCTCTTCATCCCTCTACTCCTAACATCCTCTTCCTCATTTCTTCCCAGTTTCTGTAGCTGCTTCCTGACAACTATCCCCATATAGTTTCCATTTCCATTTTTAATCAGAAGACCTTTTATTTTGCATGCCAGTGGTGCTCTTTTGCTCCCAATACTAGCTGACCTGCTATCTGTTCTTCATTTCTAGGAGGAAGAAGAGCTACTACAGCTTGAGGTAGATTTATGCGTTGTTTTCTTTACCTACCCCTCTCTGTTTCCTTTTCTTGCTTCCTTTGCCATCCCGCTCAAACATTCCTTCACATATGTATTTCACACTAGTACACAGTAGACCTAACAAAGAGTCAAATAAAGTGCAAAGACGAAGACAACACTGTTGGCCATATTGAGAGGATGTGCTTGCTGCCTCAAGTGTGTATTGTCTTTATCCACTCACATATGCAGTGATGATTAAAGTATGACCACCAGTGCTTGTCAAGAAGCTATTTTAAAGACTTAATTATGTAATATACTGAATAACGTCACATAGTCCGATTCTAGTATGTGTGCAATTAAATTACAGTATGTTCCCAAGGGTGGACGCTCTTCTGCATCCCTGTTTGCATTCAAACAAGCACATCACACAAGAATGCAATTTCCACTTCCCTTTCTTTAAACAATCTTTTTGACCCACGCAGTCACTGAAATCTCGCTAAACAGCATCCTGATGAGAGAATATTGATATACAATTCTTTAGTTATCACATTTTCCTCACTGAAATACATTTTATAAGAAGCAGTGTGTGCTTAGTGGACAATATAACATTGTACATGCTACTTCTGAAGCCAACCAATGCAGTTGCCTGCAAACAGGGTTGGGAGGGTTACTTTAAAGATATAAGCGTTACAATTACTAGTTACCTGTACAAAAATGTAGTTTAAGTATCAAAATATAAAAGTGATTCAACCCGATTACTTTTGGATTGCATCAAATGCGAAGTGAATAAATACAAGAGAAAATAAATATTAAAAAATATATTTTGATTCTATTGGCTAGCGCTTCAGCACATTGTACGTGATAGGCTAAGGGGCGGGACATCACTAAGCGGTTGACCAATCACAAGAGAGCCAGGCAGCTAACCAATCATAGCCTGCTGCAGCACAGGCAGTATGAGAACTATAATAAACATGTCACAGTAGTGGAACAAAATACTAATATGTAGGGCCCCTTAAACTCTGGGCTATCTCCCTCAGTTCAGACTTCACTAGATCCTAGGATAAAAAAAAAGAAAAGACATTTGCTTTTCTGAGACATTCCAGCCGCTGCCTGATCTTCTGAATGCTTCCCTGCTTTGCTTTGTCTTCTTTCCTCTCTATCTTTCCCATCTATTTTGTCCAACCTCTTTTTCAGGAGCAAGACGAACAAGCCACTGAGGTAGTTTGTGGTGTCTTTCCCACTCTCCTTCTTTTGTCTTCCTCTGTGTGCTGCATGGACCATTATGTATCCATGTGTAGATGCCTGATGTGCAGCATGATACATACGACAACACTTGGTGGATTTAGTGTAGAATCCAAAAAAATATGGGTCGATATACAGACCATTATTTCGTTTATCTTCTCTCCTTATTTGTTAAACTCACTAAGTCCCACGTGCTTTGATCCTCTATAGGAAGAAGAAGAAGCTGAAGTGCAAGAGGTATATTTGACCAACCATGATTTGCGTTTTGTAAACCTTTTGAAGATTTGTATGCATGATCTAATTGCATACAAACATTTTGACTGTCTCCTTCCAAGGACAACTTGTGTGTGATGCATTCCAGAGCACATTATGGGATTGTGACTCAGCTCTAAATTTCACTGTTGAGCGTTACTTCAAATATGGCACCATGAGACATTTGTTTGTTACTTCAGTGTTGTTGACATTTTTTCTCAGTCTGCCAGCACATTTTTTTGTTGTGATGTCTTGGAGCAGGTGCACAGATTTGTTGTTGTTGTCTAACTCTGCCTATGAGCACTCAAGCATAATGTTGACATGTTTGGTTATGTTGCACGGAGCCGACACTCTGACCTACGGAAGACGATTAGGGCTTCATATCAACAAAAAAAAGTTGAATTCTGAGAAAATAAGTTGAAATGTGAGGAAAAGTCAGATTTCTGTGAAAAAGTCAAATTCAGAGAAAAAAAAGATGACATCCAAAATATAGTCAGAATTTTGAGAAATAACTTGAAATGTAATTTGTTTTGGATTCTGAGCAAGAATTCGATTTCTTAGGAAAAAATCAAATTCTGAGAAAAAAGTTGAAATCTGAAATAAAGTCAGAATTTTTAGAAAAAGTTGAAATGTAAAAAAAAAATCTGATTCTGAGAAAAAAGTTGAATTCTGTCACAAAACTTGAGTTTTGAGAGGAAAGCTGAATTCTGGTTAGTTGTAAAATAATGCACGTCACCCTAATCCTCTTCCGCACTGACCTGACAGGGGCACACGTATTCTTCTGTTTTTTTTAAGTAGTCTTTTGTGTCTTTTTACCAAGAGAACTATAAAATAAGTGCATGTGACACGTTCTATAGAAGATGGAAGAGATTAAGTATTTCTTGATATTAAGAAAGACTTGGAGGAAAAACATACAGTTACATCAGATGGGAGTGTATCGATGTCCCCAGGGTGCTATCCCCCAGTTCAATAACCTGTTAGTATGCCCAGTGATGGAAAAAGTCAAAGTACCTATACCAACTTTTACAATACTTTGGTTAAAGTCCTGCATGAAAAATCTTACTTAAGTAAAAGTACATAAATATTAGCATCTAAAATATTAGCATCTAAATATACTTACCATAAGTACTTATTTCAGAATAATATGAAAGGACTGGATCGTGATTATTGATGCATTAATGAGTTGATCCCAGTTTGTAAAGGTGGAGCTACTTTTAATTACTTTATATACTGCTGCTGGATATCTGAACCTATAATTAATCTAAATGTATTAGTCGATTTATATTTTGTATAAGCTAATAATCTGAGTCTGTCCTTAACATTGTGCTTAAGTACAGTCCTTGAGTAAATGTTGATAGGTTTAATTGCTAAATAAATTGCTCAGAAATGTTTTTGTCAAGGTCATGGGTTCTAGAAAAGGATCAATGTCATCCATTACTCCCCAAATCTGCTGACAGTGTTCGGCCCTCACTATTTAAAGTAGTAGGATTGGATGTTGTTTACTTCAAGATGGCAGTCATCACACTGACCTGATGTATAAGGCACTTTAAGCACCACTCCTGTGTCACCTCAGGATAAACAGAACACTTGAGGTCATTACTTTCATTAATTCCCCCGCTGTTGTTGACACCGCACCCCTCTCAGGTTTCTTCTTCTACATTGTTAACCCCCCCCGTCGCTATAAACACTAACATGTGAAGTCCTCTCACCCTCCTGTTGACTTCAAACAACCTCCTTCTAGTTCTAGAACTACTTCTACTACTTCTTCTCTCCTTTTTTTATTTTTAAACGTGGCCAAGGAAGAAAACTTGAAACACAGGTAGTACAGAGTGGCGCACTAATGAGTCCAAAAACACGAAAATGAGTCAGCATTTTACCACTTCCTGTCCCCTGGTGTGGAAGTCAATGGTTTTCTGGATGTGTTTTTGGTTGTTTGTGGAAACGCAAGCAGAAGAGATTTTAACATTTTGTTCTGTGACACAAAATGAACTGTAACTGAAGCAACTGAATTTGCTTCAAATTGACAAACTACAGTACGAAAATGCTCTTACATGTATAAAAACAGGATATCAAAAGAACCATAATGTAATACTGGGAAAGGTCTATTAAAAAGTATTTGATACTTTAAGTGCATTTAGCTGATAATAAAGTATTTACTTTATATTATTCTGAAATAAGCCATTCTGCACAACGAGTATTTTAAATGTTGGTACTTTAAGTATAATGTAATGCCACTACTTTTGTAATTTTACTCAAGTAAACAATCAAACTTCTTCTTCCACCTCTGGACACAGACGGTTGTTTTTTAATAAACAGAGGAACGCGGCTTTTCTTTTTTATACCATCTGTCTGAGGAATCATGGTTTTATTTGTGCAACAAACTAAGCAGATCTAACTGTAATCTTTTTTTCCTAAATCCACTAAGCTTTAAGTCCGCCCAGTGGATCCAGGGTCATGGAGACAATGAGGCTGATTATTTTTTTTTGCAACCTAGTGCCAAAATCACATAGCAGCTGGACTAGAACCAACTCAAAACACACAGATATTCTTGTTTCCATGTAATAATTTGTTGTTGATTTCTTTTTTACAGGAGGAAGAGGCTGAGTAGTTGACACCAGGGGGCGTCATCGATGTTAAAATGTTAATATCCAGGTACAAATCTACACTCTTCCTTTGATTCTGTGTTTTCTCTACCACTGGAGGGCAGTAACACATCATGTGAATCTGCAGTAAACACCACCACAACATGAGTAGTTCCATTTTTATATTTGGCATTTATGTAACCAGATTAATTAAACTGTTTTTGTGCCTCTGTGACCTTCTGAATAATAATACACAACCTCTCTGCTTTATCTACATTGTATACTGTGCCTTTGAAGCTGCATTCATATCAATGTAATGTTCTTGCCTTTATACAAGATGCATAAATCTCAAACGCTACCCTCGCTTCACCTTAGGGTTTGTTTTCATGCACTCTGAGGTTTTCAGTCTGAGGAAATAAAATAATGCAGCAGTGGATTTCAAAGGGACCCTTCACTAATGGATCTGCATCTGCAAACAGAATACTAGAGACCATCTGTGAGGCCAACAAACGTACAAATATCCTCCATTTTCTTTTGGTTCCTCTGAGGCGGTTTTGATAATCCTAATCTTCAAAGGATGTGCTGGGTAGGAGGGTAACTTTGATAACCTATTCTGCTTTAATTACTAGTTACCTGTAAACAAAATGTAATCGGTAACCTAACCTACTTTTAAGAGGCCCTATTCTGCTTTTTGGGGTTTTCCCTCTCCTGTAGTGTGTTATGTAGTGTGTTATATACGCCTCCATTGGGTTCCTTTTTTTACTTCCGGAACATAGTGACATCACTATGGAACACTCTTGCTTCTATTGGCTAGCGCTCCAACACTACAGAATAAAAAAAAAAAGAACAAATGAACCAAAGAAAGTGAAAGCCATGAAGCAGATTCAGGCAGTAGTCGTATAGATTCACACTTCAAATATAAAATATTAGCCTACAGAACAGAACAGTTTACAAAGAAGACAGCAAACACTAAACGCTCTTTTATTTATTTTATTAACATTGTAAAATTGCTAATAATCCACAATTTTAAGATGTGTAACGGTAATCTGATCACATCTCTGTTTTAAGCAACTGTAAGGGAAATCAGTCTCCTTTATCTTGTATCCAGACTATCCCTTTACATGTAATCCATTACTCCAGAAGCCTGTATATGACGCTATGCATTAAGATCCACAGAGTGAGCATTGAATAAATGCTCGTCTTCTCCCTCACTTGGTAGCTTCCTCCAGACCTTGCGAGCCCCTGTCACGCAGCGTTAGAGGAAGCTGCTAAGTGAGCCTCATGTGCCTCCGGAGCACGTTGGGTGGCACACGCTCAGCGGTGGTGGCGGCTGCCTCAACTGGTAAATATGTGACCTCGTTTCTTTTTTTTTTTTTCAGCCTGAAGGAGCCTCCCGTTACGTCTCTCCCTGACCCTTTGACGCTTGACCCCCCTCCACCCGTCCCCAAGGACCCCACTGGAAACTGATGGCCATGTGTTTGTAGGCGCCAAGTCAAAAGCTAAAGTCCTGACACGCATATCTCATTTTCTTTTGACTGCAATGTTGACTTAATTTTTATATTTTGCCTTTTAGAGACGTACTGTAATGAAAATGCACAGAGTAGCCAAGTGGTGTCGAGTAGCTTTTGTAAAATGCTATTCAGTTATTTTGGTAAAAATCGAACGTATTTCTCGTGTTTTTCTTGTAGAAATTCTAGTTTTCTAACCGAGAAGAAGTGGCCTTTACACATTTTTGTTGGTATAGCTTAGATGGTTTTGCCCCATTTCAGATTGAAACTCACGCTCTAGTGTGTTCTGATCTTTTATCAGTAGTTTTACCAATGTCGTGGATCCTTCGATCAAGTGAATGTACAAATTCAAGACTTCCTAAAGGCAACATGAGGAAAAATACGCACATACTGCACCACCACTATAGTTACGTCTGCCAATACTGCTGTCTAATCAATGCACTTTGTTGAATAAGGAGTGAACCATGTGACTAAGACTTGCATGCAATGGAAAATGCAATAAAGTAAACTGGTAAAAACGACCATTTTGTTTTAAACTCTTTTGTTGGCATATTTATAGATCAGATTGTGCAGTGTCAGAAGTGCTGAGGCAAACAGGAAAACACCAAGAAATGCCTCGTCCCAAGAGATGCTTAGAAAAGGAGAGGGGGATGTAAGATACCATAGAAACATGTTTTACAAGGCATTGTAGGTATTTCACAGTGAATGTGTTGTTACGTGAAAAATATACAATAGACTGTTAACAAGAATGAAAAGGAATGTGTTCTTTGTTTCCAGCCAAGAGTTCAGAAACTGAGACTTTGGTGAAACTGTACTTTATTATTGCAGGAAGTTGGACAAAAACCAAAGTATAGGACAAAAGAAAAATTTGACTCAATATTGGATCAACTTTTTTACAGTAATCTATTTGCCAGGGTGCTTCAGTCAAAACTCCAAATATCAGCCGCATGGCCAGAGATGATGGAAAAGTCCGTAGCACATTTCTTAGACATACACTTATTTTTCGAAACATTTCATTAAAAAAAAGCCAGAAATACTGTGAGTAAAGTAATTAGGGTTCTGCCTCTGGGGAACATGATTGAATTTCATATCTATATTTCCATCGTGGCAAACTGATTTACCAAGGTGATAACGTGGCTAGCTCAATATTTCCAATTTGGTTCCATTAGCACCTCAAACAAGAAGAGAACAACAAGAATTATTGCATGAAGTTTTTCAATCACCAAAGTATACAGTTTACAGAAGGTATACAAATGCCAACCCCATGGCTAGAGCTAAAGAAAAGAAAGTCAAAGAATAAAAAGAGTTCATAAAAAATCCAAAGATACTGACAATTAGGGTTTATCCTCTGGTGAACATGAATGAATTTCATAACCATCCAAAAGTTGTTGATGTTTTCTTCTGCACAACAAGCTGCTTGTGTGACTAAAGTTATCAAAGCATGTCATCCTTCTAAAAATATATTCTGTATTTCTGCTGTTATTATCATCACCTCCTGTGTCCAACCCCATTTCTTTGTAGAGGGTGGAGGTCTGCTTGTAAAGCCCCCTGGGAAATGGAGCCGTACGAGGGGCATTGTTTGCACTCTGAGTCACTCTGCATGTGTGTGAAGCACGGGGCAAAGTTCCCTCTGAGTTTCGGGTAATATTTAACAGGGAAGTTTTGGGAAAGCATGAGGAAGGAGCAGCATCGTTGACATGTATCCACGGGTTGTGACACCAGGCTGAGGTGAGTCACACCAACACAGTGGGACTTATGGTTATTATTTCACTGAATTTGGGGAATTTATTCAGGATATGTTGCTTTCTGCTGTGTCAAAAGAAACTGCATGCTGCAAGATATTTATACACAAGATGTCAGGGGTTTGACGTAATGATACTCTGAGAAGTTCCACCTGTATTCAAGATTACAATTTGTAGTAAGATGTCCTACTTTACTGTCCTATCAAGGCGATTTTCATTTAGGAATTTGTGTAAGCTAAAAAAAATTTAAAACTGAAATCATTTTTCTTACTCCAGTATTTTTCAATTTCACTCCTTGTGTACAAATATTAAGCATTTGACTGTGACAGTGACCTTTAATTTGAAAAACAAGATATCACATTTTCTGGTGCAGTGGTGCAGAAACAAGTCTTAAAACCCGGACATAATTAAGCGCTTTTACATGTTCCTGATTGGTCTTAATGGTTGTTGTTTTTTGAATGTATTTTTGGTTTTGAGTCTGAAATAAGGTCTGAAGCTGAAGAGATGTTATTGTCATTTCATTTCACTTATAGCTTACAGTGGCATTAGCTTTTTATTTCTGGCAGTTGTGGAGCCAATATTATTATCTTGTGATTAGTTTAGCTCAGAATAAATTCAAATCTTACAATATATATTTTTTTCCTTCCACACTGTCCTCAGCTTTCTTTAGGAGACACTTTACCAAGAACACATTTTATTTCCAGGATATGAATATATATTTAACACTTTATAATATGTTTTTTAAAGGCTACAGCTATGCTCTGTAAACTTAAATGCAATTTGGAGAGACTTCACTTGAGTATTTAATTTTCTGTATTCAGTTTAAAATGTACTTTTTACTACATGTATTTTATTGTTTTGCTTTGAAGATTAGATTGAATGAAACTAAACATAATCCACTTATAATTAAAGGTGTATTATTACAGGTTAGGATAAACTTTATTGCTGTATCTCACGTTATTTGTAAAGGCTCTTCCTTTAGCTTATGCCTCATTTAATTGATGAACACTGTAAAATGTTCATTATATATATGAAAGATATAATAATAATAATAATAATAATATTTAGAAATTGGCCACCCTGCTGGAGTATGTCTACTTTTGTCCCTTTAAGTATGTTATGCTAATACTTCATTTATTTGATTTGAGAACAATTCTGACTGCAGGACTTGTACTTGATGGTTTTACACTGCTTTTCTTAATTAAATTACTTTGTATACCTCCGGCTGAGAATAACTCAATTATTTTTGTTTCAGGTCCATGCAGCATTGAACAATGGATTGACTCGACAGACTGATTAAACATGGACTTATTTTGTCTGTTGCTGCTCCTCCTCTCATGCAGCATTCAAGGTGAGAGTTCAGCTCAGAACAAACAGCAGCTTGTTTGAGTGTTGGTGTTTCACACAGCGGACAGTAATGTGCATGTTCGGCTCCATCTAGTGCATGCTGTGCTTTGTGGCAGCGCGTTTTAAAATAAACCCACCCTCTGATTAGAGCCATGTGATCTATCTGCACTATATCATTAATTTTCTTCGAAATGGTGGCCTATCTAGTTAACAGTAAGATGTAGCCAGTGGTAAGGGGACTCGTGGTCCCAATAGGAGCATGCATTACGCTCATTAGACTGCAATTCTCAGATTGCAAAGAAAATACATCTCCGTATAGGATGTCCGAGATATTTCTCAGGCCTAATTTCCCAAACGGATGCATAATTTATGATTTGCACTGCGGTGTACACATCCACCCGACTGCAGTGATGTGTCTGTGTGTGCATGTGTGTGTAGTTGAGGAGTAGGCCCTCACAGTAGTGCATAGTGTGTTTTTTCTCATGGAGACTTTTTCTATTTTAGCTCTATTCATGTTGTCCTTGTGGCTTTATCAAACTGCAGGGAAGCATAACCTGCAGAATAATGCCTCGCATGCTGCCCACAGTTACAGATTCATTTACACACTCCTATTTTGGTTGCTATTTCTTCCCTAAATCCTGTTCGCCCTCATTCATGCACCCGGGCAAATCACCCGTCTCCATCTGGACAGCCTCAGTAAGAAAGAGATTTAGGTAGTTGGGCTGTCAATGTCTTTCTTTGTCTCTTTATCCTCTAATGCTTTATTTCTTCTTTCTTTCTTCTCTTTCCTCTTTCTCTTTTCATTTTACTCAATTTCTCTAATACACTTGGTCCTCGAACATGGAAAGGTTTAAATGTTAAAACCATTTATGACGAAAAAAAACACCTCATATTCACTATGTTCCAAGCCCTTAAAACATGAACTCACAATCTAATAAAACAAAACAAGTATAGCCGCCATTTTGTTCTGGTCTTTGAGCGATATGGTTGAAATCTACTTCCTTGCTCATTCTCAATGATATGTATAGGTTTCCTTAGACAAACATCGCGTTAGGACATTTCAACTCGGATTTCAAGAATGTACTGTACATGCTCTTTGCATACACTGTTAAAAATGTCTCGTAGCGTAAAAAACTGGCAATTCTGTAAAAAAATACAATAAAAATATAAATGACTTTACAGAACAATTTGTACAATTAAATTGTTACTCAAAAGTTCTTTATAATGTAATGTTTCACATTGAGAGTAATAATCAAATGTCACAATATTGCAACTCTAAAATGCATCTTTTACAATTTTAATGTCATTTATTTTGAGAAGATATTTGAAGAAGTCAGCTTGCTCTGCTAAATGTGCACACCAATGCTAAAGAACTGCAGCATGTGGCTGTTGTTAAACTGCTTACATTCAGAATATAGGTCACTTGGGTTTCCCTTACCACTGCTGGTTTGTATATATCGCCAGCTTCTTAATTATGATTGGCCTCATATTATTTTGTTATGTGTATGGTCTTTTCAAAGGGAGAATATTGTGGAATACAATAACAACTATTCAATCTGTTTTTGCTGGCTGCCTCGGTCAGGAAAACATGGGATTCAGCAAGACATTGATATTTGGCTCCCCTTTGTCTCATGCAGGCTAATTTGGCTGAACAGCACCCCATCTGAGTATCTCTGTATCTCCGACCACAGCTTGCAAACTACTTTTACAAAGGGGCACCATATTTTTTCTGCAATCAAATCAGAGCAGATTGGTTTCAGACAGAGGGTGAAAAGAGGTGCTGCAGCATTAGAAAAATAAAGATCTTTTTGAACATTAAAGCATGGAGACATGTCACAGTAGAGACACTACAGTACATATTAATATGAACCTGAAAATAAGTTTTAGTTTTTTTTAAATATATATTTGTCTCCACTACTCAAACTCTCACCAAGAAAGCAAATCAGCGCATCAGCTGATGACTTGATTTGTTTTGTTCCACATTGAAAATAAATGTGTTTAACATCTGTTTCTGATTTGGACACCGCAGTTGGAGCTGCGATGAAGCTGTCTCCTGAAGCGCTGACCGTCCTGCGGGGGGACGACGCGCGGTTCACCTGCACTCCCTCCAAGACCAAGTGGACCGTCATGGTGTGGTTGCTGGACGGCACGGCGGTGCTCACCATCTCCAAGGAGTTTGGCGTCCTGCCGTCCGTCCACCCTAACGTGACGGCAGAGAAAGGCAGCGTCTCATCAGGAGACAGCTGGGTGTTTGTGCTGAAGACCACTGAGAGGCGCAACCAGGGACAACTGACCTGTGACCTCCAGGGCAGCGACAGAAGAACAGCCAGCCTGTTTGTACAAGGTATGTGTGTGTGTCAGAGTGTGTACATGTGTTTGTAACATTGATTTGTAGCAGTAATACAGAAAGTTAGTGTTTACTTCGGCTGCAGAGAATTTCAAAGTCTTGCCTGCAGATGAGAAGTCTCAATTGCAAACTGAGAGATCAGAAACACACTGATTTAACCTTGACGAGACAAAAAGAAGCGTAAAATAAGAAGGGACAAAGCAAAAATCATGTACAGTAGCTGCTTTCATTCTGCATACCCCCACATTGCTGTCTCTGAAACACAAAGAGACAGAGAGCATTTCCCCCCAGTGTTCAAGGCGCTCATCTTAATTAAAGTGCCTTTATTCTAATTTCTTTGAAGTGGGGATTCAAGAGTGAGGGTTTTCTGTAAAAGCAAGTGTCGTCTATCGAGGGTGGAAAATCATCTACTGGGCTGTGTGGATGAGTACAGACATGTTGATTCTACTCTGTGACATTGTTAATGACCGTGGGGGGATATAAATACCAGGTGGAAAGCTGGGGACTCCTCGACAGTCAGACCGGTCTGCAGAGCAGGATTTACACACTGCAGCTGAAGCCCTTCTTCTCCTCTCTGTTGCTGGAGAGTAAAGAGTCCAGGCTTGATAAGAATCAGTCATTCTCTGCAGTTCTGTTAGTGTTGATATCTCAAGCTTGAGAGCTCTGCAGCATTTTGACAAACCTGGGACTCCCTGGTAGTAGTAACCAATACAATTTATTTTTAATAAAAATAAATATAGTTGCAACAGATTGATTTATATATATCTTTTAAGAAAACAATGTTATGCCCTACATTTCCCCCCCAAAATTGAATTAAATATCAATATTCTTTTGTTTTGTATGAAGATGATGCGCTTATATAGCTATATGAGTGAAGATAATACAGTACATGCTTTGAACTTCTAGATAAAGCTACTGTATGCAATTTTCTAAGCAGACCGGAGGGCATGCAGCATATGATAGATCGCTCATAACATTCATAAGATAATCGACATCTCTCTAGACATCTCTCTAGACTCTAGATAAAGACTTGACTTTTACTTTATAAAAACGACTTGTAAGCATCTTTGGGTTTAAAGGGGTCCTATAATGTTCATATCTGTATTTTGTGTCTCTACTGTGACATGTTTGTAAGCTTCAATGTTCTCCGGTCTTTTTACTAAAGCTACTAATTTCACTCTCTGTCTGAAACCAGAGCCCAGTCTGCTCTGATTGGTTAGCTGGCCGGCTCTGTTGTGATCGGTCAACCCCTTAGAGATGTCCCGCCCCTTAGCCTACCACGTACAATATGTTTGAGTGCTAGCCAATAGAAGCACAAGTGTTACATATTGATGTCACCATGTTACAGAAGTAAACAAAGGAGTCAATGGAATATATAAAACAACCCAAAAAACAGAATAGGGCTTCTTTCTGTGTTCCTCTTTGCTGATGAGAGGGAAGTCCAACTTTTTTAAGGAGAGCAGAGAAAGATATGTACATGTTTGACCTCAGAAAAGGAATAATCAAAGATAGTTGACCCATCCCCACTCACTCTGATATGTTTTGTACAGCCTTTTTGTTCAAAGATTGCCATGTTTGGTCTCTTTTGACCTTCAGCTTATTTCCACCTGTACAAACCTAACTCGGCAAAAAGAAAATCTGCGTGGAAACATCCTCTCTGCAAAAAAGCAAAGGGAAACAAAAACCAATGACCCATCACCTCCAATATATTACACAGAGAGCCTCCATCGCTGCCAACACCACAAATCCGCACTGACATATGCAGCCATTAACAGTACTGCATGGTGAATCAGGCCCTCGAGTCTGGACGCACAGGATCACTATGGCCTGACACAGCCTTTGAATTAATTGTGCATCCTGGCACGCCCAGTTAACAGTCAGCAACTCTGCCTGTGATTTGTGTACTGCAGCTTCAGATATACTGCTGGAGCGGAGCCACAAATCCACCGCCGCTTGGCTGCCTCTGCATGCTATCGTCAACACTCCCTACTTTAATTGTCCAGTATGAGGATGATGTAAATATGACAACACACTCCTGCCTGCTTATGCCTCTCACTCGCTTGTACATTCAATTGACTAAATCAATACGGTTGTACGCACTGTTGAGCAGGTTCTGCAGTGAAGGCTGCAGAAAAGGAGAAGTGTTCAATAGAACTCAAAGAGCGAACATGCCTGTGATGTTTGGTCCGTAGAGGCATAGCCCCCTCCTCATTGGAGTGAATTCACTCCCACACACTCAGGCCATGGGTTATCATGCAAATAAGAGTTCTGCACACAGACATATAAAAGTCTCAATGCAGCAAGTTCCCCTGCAGAAAGAGTTATCTGAGGACTCCCCGCCTCTTAAGGACTGCAACAGCAGCTGAAAGTCTTTTCCCTACAGTGATCAACCAACCTTACGAAACCTTATTTCAGGGATCACTTAAATCGGAGCTTAGGGAGAGAGTGCTGATGGCGTTCCTTTCTCTCTATTCAGACATATCAATCTGCCATGATCGCCCAGAGCTGCTCATCAGTCAATGCAAATGAGGCCCGCCAACCTTTACCCAACAGCTCTGAGTTCACTCTTCCTAGAATTGGACCGTACGATGTTTATGACACCAAAATCAGGCATCAAATAAAAGCTCCTGGAGAAAAGGGACAGCCAATAATGCGTACAAAACATCTGAGGATTTGAACCTAAATCCACACAGACATGTCATCCGCTTAGACAAAGCACCGGAGCTTCTGTAATTATCTTTCTGTCTGTAGCAATTGTCTGTTGCATCTACCGAATTTCGTTCTGCCAGACAATAGACTTCACATATGAGATACTATATCTCCTGAGGCCTTAAGTGGCTTATTTGGCTGGCAGGGAAGGAGATGAAGGGGAGAAGAGAGAAGCATTCGTCAGGCAATTGAGACTTTGAGACATGCGATCAATCACCCGGGACGAATGAAATCCGTCTCTTGAAATCGAGCGGGCCATCTGGAGAGGTGATGCTCATCTTTGGGTACAGAAATATGCATGCAAATAACAGAAACACATAGATTCCTAACAGCTGTAGGTATACATAAACCTATAAGGTACATACATATTCATAAATGCAAGCACAAAAATAAGAACAAATAAAGTGTGTAAATGTACTTCTCTTCTGATTGCAGAAAAGGGCAGCGTGAAAGTGATCGGGGACTCTAGTCTAGTTTTCAAGGGTCAGTCAGTTCTGTTTGGATGCCACGCTGCGGGATGGTACCCTCTACCCACTCTGCAATGGCATGTGAATAACAAAACAGTGAGTACACACATCCTCCTCAGTACTGTCTGTCTGAGAACTAACCACCGTTTTTCATATTAGAGAACAGCATCAATGTTGCTAATGCAAAGACACACAACTTATTGTGATATTGTAGAAGTGGTGAGCCAAATCAACTTGCTAATCCCATTAAATACAGCGCTAGCAAAGCAGCGGGTGGACGTGTTGAGCTTAAATGCCCAACAGATTGATTAAGAAATAACTAATCAACATACAGTAGGTGTGATGGACCCACACTCTAAAGTAGATCTAGTGTTTTATTAATATTAGACGTGATGAAAGCAAGCCATTACATAAAGCCTGAACATTTCTGTGGCAGCGTTAGCTAGCAGTCTTTCTCCTGTAATTGTACATAAGCCAGGCTAACAGGAAACCCATGAACAAAAATTAAATGTCTTAAACTTCTGTCAACTTAAACTTAAATGTTATGTATAATATGTTGAAAAAACGTTGTGGTGAAGTAGGTCTAAAAAAGTAATAAAAATGTATACAATGCATTATTAAAATGTTGTAGTATAGTAAGTAAATAAAAGTCATAGTATAGTTGAATGTTATGTTGAAATGTTGTTTCGTCAATACAAAGCCAGAGGAAATGCCATACTCTTGTCGGTCCAAAAAAAAGAAAGACACAAGAACTACCATCTTTGAAAAAACACATAAGTTTATTAACACAAGTAAAGGGTGAAACATTCAAGGAAAAGGAACATGAGATAAAAGCTTCTATTCGACCACAGATAACGGATCATAGTGTCCACTACAACATTATATTTTTTCAAACACAAATTTCCCCAAAGACCTGAGTAGAGTACTCTCAGCTGCATTTGGATTACAGCATAACAAGAGACAGTTTTGTTTTGCCCATTTCTAAATTAAATAACATCACAGACCTCTTTGTGAACGTTTTTACACAAACCACTTTCATTTGATGCCCCTGTAAATAAGTACATGCTGTAATTGTGTGCCTGTGCAGAGCCAGATAAGGTGCATTATAATTTTCAGGCTTTCCGTTTCTTTTCCACACCCTTTAGGAAACTGTCCTCTGCTTTTACAGGGGTCAAAACAACATCAAGTTATTACCATTTATTACATCTGAAAAAGACACCCTGCTGTAAAATGTTCTCAAGTGTAATTGTTTGCTTCTAATGGTATTAAGCCTCATTACACATGTGGGAACTACAGCCGCTGAATGCACCGTTCAATTGTCTGGATACAAATCTGAAAACAGATGTGACATCTCCAGGGAGCTCAGCCTTTTTAAAACTCAGCAATTTAACTAAAACATGGTCACAGCCAAAGATGCTGGTCTTGCAGTAATAAGTAGTGCACCTTTCTTACTGTCCTAATGTGCACAATGTAGTGACTGCTTTTTTGTCTTTTGTTTTCTTAGTTATGTTCTCTGTATTTTATATGTTTGTGTTATGTGTAACGTTGCTGCCTTCTTGGCCAGGTCAGCATTGAAAAGGAGATTTTATCCCAATGCTTTTATCTGGTTAAATAAAAATAAGATGGAAGACAGATTATTTACTTCAGTAAAAGTAGCAGTAGTTTTTTTTCAAAATTCTGCGCATGTGTTGTCAAGTTGATGAAGATGTATTTCATTTGCATGTGTGTTTTTATATTTGAAGCTGCAGTACGTTTCACCTAATGGAATTGTTTTGGGCCGTTTGTACCTGTCGAAAACCGTAGAAAGCACTATGTATACAACGTACTTAAAAAACACACAAAAAACCATTTGTTTTATATTTTCACTTTTGGTCTTATACAGTGTTCTTACAGAATAACAGATACATCCTGTCTAGTTAGATGTCCACCATCCAAATGAATAAACAGAATACAAATAAACCAATTATCTCTCTCTCTAAGGTGAGTCAGGGTGATTACAACATCAGCAGTGAAGAGTCGGGGGAGAGCCTCTTCACTGTGAGCAGTAACCTCAGTGTTACAGCAGCAAAGAGCTCTTATGTGGATTGTCTGGCCTCCGTGTCTGCACTCCGGACACCGCTGAGGAGCAGCTTCCGCCTGACAGTGGGTGAGAGGACGCATTCATGTGTTTTTCATTAAATAACACAACATATTTTCTCCGTCCTTGCTTCAGGGTTTGAAGGGTTTGTTATAATTGAAATCCGTTACGGGTACCCTTTAAAACAATCTAACCAACTCTGAGTATCACAATATAAAAATTATGTAACCTGATTATATATCAATAAGATGTTTTGTTTGACTTAAAGAGGTCCTATTATGCTTTTGGGGGTTTTCCCTTGCATGTAGTGTGTGTTCTATAGGTTTGTATGCATGTAAATGGTCTGCAAAGGCTAACATCCCTGTGTTTCTCTCCCACCCCCCACCCCCACCGTGACATCACTATGTAACACTCACACGCTCCAACACATTGTACATGGTAGACTAAGGGGCGAGACATCTCTAAGCGGTCGACTAACCACAACACCATCGAATGGAATGCAAATAAATAAAAGAAAATAGAAATATCAATGCATTTGATATTGAGGTAATCCAAAAGTAACAAAAAGCAATCAAGTCAAAATATACATTTTTCTACACGTAACTAGTATTAGTAACAGAATACATTTTTAAAGTAACCCTCCCAACGCTTTAAATAACATAATTATACAGTGAAGACTCTCTCTTTGCTCCGTCCTAGTTTGGTATGTCTCTTCATTTCTTCTCTCTTGTTCAACCCGCCTCTCTTTGTGTGTTTCACTTTGTTCTTTCCCCCTGTGAAGCATTATTATTGAAGAATAGAGTGGAACAGAAAGAAGTTCTCAGATCAAAAACTGCATGAGTTTGCATCAAAGAGCCTCAAATACAAATGCATTATCATCTTATTAATGTTCCATTTGTAATTCTTGTTTGACATTTTTCTTATTTAAATCTACTCTGCAAAAACCCTCATGCACACCACTTCAAATGGAAAGCAAATTGAACAAGGCTTTCTTTACACTGTGTCTGCATCTCTGTGATTGGATTGCAGAGTAACAACACTGCTTCAGCGTTTCACCCACATGTGACTTCCTCTCTTAGTGGCAGAGGTGGTGCAGCTGGAGGACGGCTGCACGGTGCCTCTGGCAGCGATGGCCTCCCTCTCTGCGATTCTGCTGCTCCTCCTGCTCTGCATCTGCACTGTCCTCTGCTACAGACACAGGAGACAAGCAAGTATGCACTTCTCTTTTACTTCAATTGGTAAAAAAAAAGAAAAGACGTCACCTCCCCCCACACTTCTTCCAGTTGAGACTCCACACTACCCCACGATGGCCTTCACCAAGAGCATGCAGTATATTTTCTGACAGAGGAAGAACATTAGTTGTCAGCACAGAGCATTTGTTCTTCTTTTGAAACAGCAGCAGCACAAAGGTTAGATAAGTGTGTGTACTGCGTGACTTCAGGGCGTGAAATCCAAGGAAAACTGGGACACTTCCAACAGAAGGGCAAAGACTTTTAACCTTAAAACCCACAGGAAACTCAACTCATGAGAAATAAATGTACAAAGATGATTCAAGGTTCAAGGCTTTCATCATTCATGCGTACATAGCTACAGTGTAGTTATGACGATGAACATCTTAGGTCACAGGCTCCTCCAACAGTGCAACACAATAAAAACTGAAAAAATAGTGCAAGTAAATACAAAAAGAAACATAGTGAAATTGTGAAATAGTGAAATAAGAGTCTATATACAAGTGATTGGAATATGATATATTAGATAAATAATTTGTAAATTGCAGCCAGATGAATGTTATGGAGTTTGGGAGTTTGGGGCTTGGCGAGTAACAGATTACATGTAGCAGAATTACGTTATCCGGATACATAAAAAGGTAACTGTATTCCCTTATAGTTAAATAAAAGAAGACATGCATTCATCCATGAAGAAACAAACTCGAGAACAAGAATCCTGCAGGTTCACATCCTATCTATAAACCCAACAGGATGAAGTGCTACTGCATAAGTGCTACTTACAGAACAGATGTACTTTTCTTTTTTATTGGCCAAAGTGCATTGGAAACGGAACGGAAGATGTGTAGACTTTCTGCTGTCCTGAAATCAATGTGGAACTCTTTCCACCATTTTGGGGCCAGGATAGCAAACGGGCCTGTTTTAATTAAGGGGTATGAGTCCCTCTTCGCAGCGAGGGAGTGGCACGCTGATTGGCTGACGTAGATTGAAGTGCATGTGTATGGTTTAACCATGTCCTGGACGTAGGAAGGACCAGATCCATTGACAGCACGGTAGGCCAGTACCAGTGTCTTGAAGTGGATTTGGGCAGTGAGAGAAGGGAGCAGAGGAGCGGTGCATTGTGGGAAAACATATGGAGGTTGAAGACCAGTTGGGCTGCTGATTTCTCGATGAGTTTCTGATGTTGCAGAGAGTGTATCTGCAGAAGTGAGTTGTTGCAGCGATGTTAAAAGTGAAGGACAGTTGGTCAGCTAGCGTCACGCCCAGATTCCTTGAAGTCTGAGTCAGGGAAACAACAGAGGTGCCGATGTTAATAGAAAGGTCATGGATTGGAGAGTCCTTACTTTGAAGGAAAAGCAGTTCAGTCTTTTTACTGAAAATATGCTTTATTAGCAGGATTCGAATGTTCCAATACATTTTAAAATAAAGAGCGGTATATTAGATAACTTGTGCACACATTGTGACACTTCTCAAAACACAGAGAGAAATGTGTCTCGAGTGAAACCAGGGATAATATTATCTTATTTTAAAAAGCATTTGCAAGTAAATGTTTTGTATTCTGTTTTGTAGTCCACTATTTGGAATAGGCAGGTAAAAACGTTCAATTAGAAAGTTATTGTAAGTAAAGGGGATGGTCATAGGTTTATATCTAAAGTCTGTTCCGATACCGGGCATTGAGATGTGCAGATGAGGTGACCGTTGTTTGGTGGGACGTGGCGACCTTGATCAAGCAATCAACCTGTTTACTAAAAGGATTACAGATGCCGGTACACTTAGTGATACTGTACCTCGGGGAACTTGAGGTCCTGACTATCAGTGGGATCCTGCCAGATGAGTCCGTATGTTAACCGTAAAACATTTAGCTTTTGGCCACGGCTTGTTTTCTTTAATTTAAAATGTCTACTGTGTAGGATTCTGTGGTGAGGTCACAGATTGCATCCAATTGAATGTCCATCAATTATGAAACTGTGGTGGCCTTGAGGTAACATATGACATAGGCCCTCCCTACAGAGTTCTGACCTACGTAGAAACATGCCGGTTCAATATGGCAGAATTGTTATAAGAGGACAGATGGATAGATGGATGGATAGATAGATGGACAGATGGATAGATAGATAGATAGATAGATAGATGGATAGATAGATAGATGGATGGATAGATGGATAGATAGATAGATAGATGGATAGATAGATAGATAGATGGATGGATGGATGGATAGATGGATAGATAGATGGATAGATAGATGGATAGATGGATGGATAGATGGATAGATAGATGGATAGATGGATGGATAGATGGATGGATAGATGGATGGATAGATAGATGGATAGACAGATGGATGCATTCCAGGTCTAACCATAGGGTGTTAAATAACAAATTAAATTACGAGCGATAGCTAGCTAGATAGCTAACATTTGCTGGCTAGCTTTTTAGATGGGTAACTAATGTAAGCTAGCTAACCAGGTAGATAGGGGGCGGGGCAACATAAAGTGAATAGACGCTATTCTCTCATTCCCCATACTGCTCACAACCCAGATGATTTGTGATGAATCCACACGTTTTGTCACCTCTCCAAACAGAGAGACCAATGCTTTGCCAAGTCGTAGCGCTAAACTTGTGTGACGTTGTAAAAAAAGTCTGGCCAGGGAAGAAGAATCTCCAAAGGGGATCGTTGTTCTGTAGCACGAGGAGGCGGAGGAGCCCTGTTTGTGCGCGATAACAAAAAAGTGGCCCTAAATCACACATTTGGAAGTCAATGTAATCCCCATGACTGATGCAGGACCATTGCGAATCATGGCACTAGTTTAGAGCTAAGGGATTATCATAAAGCAGGTGTGACCTTTCTCCCACGGCGGCTGGTTCTGCACCTGAGACGTCTGATTCTTCGTCTAAATTAACTTCACGAGGATGTTTCACATGTTAGAGGATGTGACATGCCTCCTAGCCGCTAAACTGTTCTTTGAGTAATCCACCTCAATGGGGAGAAATGCATGCTTTGTAAATATCGGGGAAAAGAGGGATCTTATAAAGTCACCCTCAAAGACTTTGGCCAGCATGACAGCAGGGATTTAAAATATAATGACTAAGGCAATTCCTCTCGCTGTAAAAGGAGCAGTTTATACGTCTCCTGAGGCGTGTGCACCATCTGCACCATTGTTATATTGTTGTGTGTTTTCACCGCGGCCAGGAGGACCTTTGGCAAAGCTGTGCGACAAAACTCATTAACACTCAATTCCAGCTTTCTCTGGTGAATTGAAAAACTGACTGGAGGCGATGATATTAGTGAAGAATCCAAAACTAATAAACGCAGTATTTACAGCTTTCATATTGCTGCAGACGCAGTGAGCAAGCACAATGATTTTGTGGTCAATGTACTGAGAATAATAAAGTTAAAGCTGCTCACGGCTCGTAATCATTCTTTAAAGTTAATGCCTCATGTTTTTTACCTTTCAGAGCAGAGCCCACAGGAGGCGGCAATAAGGTAAGATTTAAGAGCTCTGCTTCTTCTGCTTTACGAGGCTGTTTTTAAAACAAAGAAAACATTGGATTTTCTCCACCTTTCAAACTAACAAAAAGAACTTTAAGATCAATTGTGACCTAAGGAGAAAGCAGCAGCCTATAATCTGTGAAAGAGTCAGAGAATCACATCTGTAATGAGCTCCATTTTTACTTCAAATAAGGGAATAAGGGAGTAATCGATTACATGTAATAGGATTATGTAATTAGGATTTTTAAAAAGGACTGTACTCCCTTACAGTTACATAAAAAAAGAACTAATTGGATTACTGGTACATTTTTAAAGAATGGTGATTAATGGCAGGTTCCACATTTCAAAATATAGATTAATATATTATAGGTAGACGTACTGTCTGAATATTTTTAAACTTTACATATCATTTAAAAGGAGACATTTTTTATACTAAATATCTTGGTTTGATCACATTGTTCTGTTATCTTACACAGACTATTTTGTATTTTGTGTCTCTACATGTTTCCATGTTCAAAAAGCTCTTTTTTTCCTCATACTGCCTGTGCTGCAGCACCTCTTTTCAACCTCTGTCTGAAAACAGGGCCCAGTGTGCTCTGATTGGTTAGCTCTGTTGTGATTGGTCAACCGCTTAGAGATGTTCCGCCCCTTAGCCTATCACGTACAATGTGATCCATAGTGATGTCACTATGTTCCGGAAGTAAACAAAGAAGTCCAATGGAGGTTATATTTCTTCTGTATTTTGATACTTAGAAGAGGTTTCTGATTTTTTTTACATGCAACTTTGTAATGGATTACATTTCAATAGTTTAGTAATGAATGGGCTCTTATTGTTCCTCATTATTAAATAAAATTGAAGACATGAGTTTGCTATAATCATTACATTTTTTAACAGCTTAATTAAGATTCAGATTTTCCTCGGCTCATTTAAGAAGCAGATATATTATGCATTATTTGTCTAGGCAGCTGGGACACATTTTATAGCTTCCCCTCTAAAAAAATTCAGTGAAAAATGATGATGTACATTTTTTGTATCCATCAAATTACTTTATGACGAAAAAAACACAGAGGCGCTTGACATACTGAAGCTTTGTGAGAAAATAAAATGGTCTGCCTCTGCGTATCCCAGCTAAACATTTAAATCCTTTCTATTGGACCGCTCATCTGGCCATTTGCAGGTTTGACCAATCAGTGAGCGGGAGAAGCTTGGTTGCTGAGGCGACAAGGGGGAAGGTCAACCTGGGATACTCGAGTGAGGGCCCCACAGGTGAGAGAGGGCAACCGTCAATTTCAATTTACCACAATGGTGGTTGTAGTCAAACAGTAAAAAAATGATCAGCTCGTATGTCTTTTCCTAACCACTATACCTTAGCCTCAGGGTCAGGGGGCCGAGTAAAGAAGTGAACGAGAATGTATCAGGGTTGCGGAGAAATTATAGTTATTTCTCACGTAAATGTCCTATGGTGGCCGACAGGGGCAAACACTTACACATAAGGGGAAACTCGCTGCACATTTAAAAATGCAAAAATATAAAAAGACAAATGTGCCAAAACATCTCCACCAACTTGACAACACATGCGCAGCTTTTAGGAAACATTCACCAACTTGTATGATGATGAAAAATGCGTAGCGTTTACTTAAAGTGCTGCATAAACAAAATGCTGCACTTACAAAAAACTGCAAGAAGCTCAAAACACAACGGAAGCTATGGGATACTAAAAAGTGATGCACACAGCTGGGACTGGAGCGCTTGTTTACTTTCGGGATTATAAAGTTGACCTATGTCAAAGAATTGACCGCATCCCAGGACTAACAGTAACACAATGTTTTAAGGAACTACTTGCAAATGGTCAGTTGAGCAGCCCCATTATATGTAGGATTAAAAATCTATCAAATCATATTTAGATATTTTTTAACTCAGACAGAAACAAAAGATGGAATTAGACCCAGGATGCTGAGTTGACTTGACTTCTGAGCCATTACAATGCTTATTTCCTACTATTTAGCTGCTTAACATCCGAATTGTTAGATCAAATCTGGATAATTTGCTGTTTCTCCCCCTGCAGACCCAGCTTACAGCGAGCTAAACCTGGAAACTCGTAGGCAGCAGCAGGACTTTGTCAGCTTTCTCAAGGTAAGAGAAGGTGGGAGGGCAGAGAGAGTGAGAAAGAAATAAAAAGCCACAGAAAGACATCCTAAAGGTCCACTGCAGCAGAAAAATGTTAATTCTGCGGTTGGATTTTCTGCCACCTCCTCCTGTATGGAGAAGGAAATGCTTTACTGTTGCACCACCCCTGGCCTCCCGTCCTGCTCCCTGACAGGAATGTAGAATATAATGCTTCTTGGCACTTCATGGCCCTATTTTTAGCATTCTCTGTCTCCATCCTAAATTGAAGCCTCACTGAGACGCACGGTTATTACATTTTTGTCTGTCAATGCTCCTCTTGCCCTGTCATTATTCTAGCTTGTCAAAGATGTTGAGTTTAGGGCGGCAGTGATTCAGTCTGTAGGGGATTGGACTTTGGACCAAAGGGTCGCCGGTTCACGTCCCGATCGGACCAAACAATACGGAGTGTGGACTGTTACTGGAGAGGAGCGAGTTCACCTCCTGGGCCACTGCCGAAGTGCCCTTGAGCAAGGCACCTAACCCCCAACTGGCGCCGGCGCTAGACTGGCTGCCTCCGCTCTGACCTTTCAACTGCATGTGCATGTATGCATATAACTGTGTGTGTATTTGTATATGTATGTGCATGATGTAAAAAGTGTGTACTGTGTGTATAAACCTGTGACAGTATAAAACGCATGTGTGTGTACGACAGAGTGGAAACTGAATTTCTATAATTTAATAAAGGTCCTTCTTCTTCTTCTTCCTTTTCTTCTTCTTCTTCTTCTTCTTCTTCTTCTTCTTCTTCTTCCTCTTCTTCTTCTTCTTCTTCTTCTTCTTCTT